CCATGATTCCTTAGGGCATTTGTTGAAACACACACAAGAGCAGACGGAATGACAGAAGGCGCCAGCGGTTCCCCATCGGCTTTTACGGTAATCAGAACAGGCCAGGGCCAGCACTGCCTCATCTGTGCCCCACCCATTCACTCCCCACCCCTTGATTATTTTGAAATAAATCCCGAGCAACATAATTGTGTGATTTTTTTTCATGCTTAAATGTTTGGCCCATATGAAAATATTTTGGAGTTAGAACTCCAACTTTGTCTTCTGCACATGCCTAAGCCATTCGGCCAGTGGCTTATTGACTAAACCATCCTCCTCACTGATCTGAAATGCTGCCTTTATTACACACGAAATTCCCAGGCATATATGTGAGTGTAGCCCTGTCTACCTCTTATTCTGCACCCCTGATTCATCCACATAGTTTCTGTACCACACCGTTCAGGTAGCTGTAGCTCGACTGCATGCTTTGGTGTTGGGAGAGACTATTCTCTGAAAGATGATTTAGATGTAAGCCTCCCCTGGTATTCCAAACCCTGCGTGAGAGTGGGGATCTGGGGGAAGGCCAGCGTTAGCCGTAACTGCCCATCAACACTCTGGCTGGGGTAAGGCATGGCATCACCATGGCAACCAGAGAGTAGGGTCCAATGTCTGACTGCCACTGAGGACTAGGTGGCCTTGGGCAGTCCGCCTGGCCATCCGGAGCCTCTGCTTAGCAGGACTTCCCTCCCGGCTGCAGCATTTCCAGTCCCAGGATCCCAGGGAGGGGGTCTTGGGAGAAGCACACAGAGTTGTGAAAGGACATCCAGTGGCCGCTCGCAGGAAGTCCCCGAGATCAGCACAGGAGATCGGCCCGCTGGGGACCGGAAGGGAGATTAAGCAACAGCCAAGACTGTTAACAGCCCCAGAGCTGGCGGGCTCCTCGGCGGCCCGGGAGGCACCGGCTGCATGCGCGACCGACCAGGAGTCTTTGAGAGGTGGGAGCCTCCCCTGAGTCTCGATGCTTCTTTTCTTTGGAGGGATGGGGCTGGGGGCGGGGGCAGCAGCGGTCTCCATCCAGCTCCTATGATGAGGGTGCAAAGGGCTGAGTCCCCTTTTCTCGTGAATTTGGGGCTCTCTGCATGGTCAATGGAGGGCACCTGGGCAGGAGACTGGGGTACGTTACCTGCCCTTAGATGGCCAGGTGACCTTGAGCAAGTCACCTGGCTCCTCAGAACCTCGGCTCCCCTAGCAAGTTAGTGAGGGGAAGAGAGGCGAATAGACTAGAATAAGACTCGAGGTGGGCTCTCAGACCCACCAACCGGGACAGTCTGGGCTCTGGGACCGTCGCTATTATTTGTAGTTATCGAAGTAAGTGGGGTGAGAGCAGACCCAGTCCCTCACCCCTTTGGTGAGAGAAATATGGGATGGGGAGGCCCCATGGCACCTGCAGCTGCTGTATTTGACTCTGCCGCTGGCTCCAAACTTCAGATGATTTCCCAGGCGAGGAATGTGGTATGGGGTGTGCGTGTGTGATCCTGGCCATGAGGGGCTTCTGGCTGGTAAGGGTGTGAGGTAGGGATAAACCAGGAGGGGGATGGGGGTGCCGACAGAGGGTGCCGGGCTGGCTGACGCTCAGGCACGCTGTTCTGAGCGGCCGAGTGGGCAGGGACCTGTGTCCGGGCTGTGAGGGACAAAGGGGGTTGTCGTTACCACGAGGAAGGGGTGGGTGACGGCTGACTGAGTGGAGCTGGCTGAGCAGGGTTGTGAGCCTGTGCCCACGCATGTACCCCCGTGTTGACCGATTGAAGGATGCCCCCGCTGTCTCTGAATGGCCACGCCTGGCTGTGAGGGGCACGGACTGCCTCTCCGGTGTGCTGTAGAGATACAAAGGGGGACACCGGCTCTGACTGATGTCACAGGTGCTCTGAGGCAGTGCTGGCTGTAGGGCACCTGTTGTCTTTCTGCCCCAGGCCTCCTGATGGGTGAGGAGGCGGCGAGGGAAAGAAGGGTTGACGGGCTCGGAGGGCTGGTGCTGAGGCCCCTGGCAGAGTGGGGGCTGGGGCGCTTTTATATAGCATGCCTGCTGGAAATGGGCTGTGGAGGTGCAGCTGGGACACCCCCTCCCACCACCAAAAGGACATTAAGAGCGTCCTATGTCCTGGAACATGACCACAGGGGATTTATCTCAGAATTCTAATTTCCCTGACTTATGGCCTGACAGACTCAGCATTGTGGCACCCACAACCGCAGCAGCCTCTTCCCCCACCACTTCAGCTCTAGAAGCTTCCGCAATGGGAATCCTATCTTGCTGCCTCGTGTGTGTTATCTCCACCAACGGAAGTGCGTGTGAAACTTGAGTTTCCAGGCTCACAACCCCGAGTAAAGCCTGCCCCCCTGCCCTGCTCCATGGAGCCCTTGTCCCACCCATGGCGGCTCTGCCGGGCGTCTGTGGCCCACAGACGGGCCTTCTGCCACCAGGAAGGTACCTCCCCAGGCAGTGGTCCTGGGGGAGTCCATCCCAGAGCCAACCAGGGGGCGGATCTGGTGCTGGCTCCGCTACTGACCATGGCTTGGGCACCACTCTGAGGCTTGGAGCCTCCCTCCCTCAGTTTCCTATCTGTCAAGTGGGGATAAACCGTATTTGTATAGTACCTGGCTCTTGTGAGGCTCAGAGAAATGTCACCCTCACTCACGTCATCATCACCACTGTCACTGCTGCATTTACCAGCTGTCACTGTATGCCAGGCGTGGCTGGGAGTGCTTTACGGGGACTATAGAGTCGACAATGTCACTGAGCGCCGACTGTATGTGGGGCACTGTTCCAGGCGTTTGGGGCAGAGCAGTGAGCAAAAGCATAAATTCCCGGCTCGCATAAGGCTTATGCTTCAGGAAGAGGAGATGGAAATTTTACGAAATAATCAAATAGAAGAGTATTCCGGTAAGGTGAACACTACTTTCCTGTTCCAGTGAGGAAACGGGCACAGGGACATGAGGAGGCTTGCCAAGGTCACAAGGCCAGCGAGCGGCGGGCCTGGGAGAGGCAGAGGCTGTCTGACTCCAGAGCACTGTGGCTGGATGTTACCTCCTCGCTTCGCCTCCCCCTCTACATCTGTGGGTCCAGAGGGGGGGAAACTACCAGGGGGAAGGGGCGCGGGGTCCTAGATCACCCAAGGGAGCCACACGACCCCTGCTCACCACCCCGCGGCATTCAGCTGGTGCTCAGCAAACGCTTCTCGCCTAGTGCGTGCTGGACCCCGGGAAGGGGCTGGGCAGAGAAGCCTCAGCGAGGTGGGCTGGTAACTGCCCCGTGGGAGGAAAAGCCCTGATGTGTGGCATTTGCCCACTGGCATGGACCGGATACTCCCACAGTGGCCGCGCCCAAGCCGCTGGGTTCCGGAGAGATGCACGCGCTCGGCGGTGTGTGCCCCGAGGCCCGGTGCGGCACCCCCTGCAGCTTGACATGTGTGACATGGAAACTGCCCGCAAACAGACTTTGAAGGCCCCGAGAGCGACAGGCCAAGAGACAGAGACGGAGCGAGACAGACAGAGAGATGAAACAGACAGGGAGAGACAGAGACTCGTTCGCTTTAAAGTGTGGTGGCCTCCGGGGTGAGGCACTGCTTCACTCGAGTCCTGTGCTTCTGTGTGAGGGAATCTGCCCAAGGGAGGCTGGACCAGTGGCTCCAGTGACTGGAATGAGCATCTTCCCTGAGGCAGAGCTCCTGAGCCTTCCACTCAGCCTGACTGTGACCTTTGGACCCAGCAGAGAAAGCCCAGAGGGGTTGTTCCCTCGGCCTCAGTTCCTTTGCACGTGCTGTTCACTGCTTCTAAATCCTACTTGCCTCCTTTAGAGCTTGACCAAATCCCCACCCCCCTTAGGAAGCTGCCTGACCATGTGCACACCAAGCTCCTCTCACCCCATACAGTTTTGTGTCTGGACTTACTCCCTCCAGGTCAGGCTGCCCCTTTCTCCTGCCCTGGGGCCTCACCTAGACAAAGCCTTATCCATAAATATCCTTATTAATTGACTGACTGACCGAAGACCTTCAATGACAGATGAAAGGACCCTAATTAATGAATTGGACAACCCTTACTTGAGCACCTACTATGTGCTAAGGACCTGGGAACAATATGGTCCAAGGTGCACAGTGACATCCATAGGGGGAGCCCAGGGCATCTTAGGGTCTCGGACAATGGGGTACTGGACCTTACTTGAAGTTGAGGGTGGCTGCAAGGGAAGGCTTCTTGGAGGAGGTGGGCTCTAAGCTGAGGGAGGAAGAAGTATCAGCTAGGTGAGGGGATAAGAGAGTCGGGGAGACTGGGGCAAAGGGAGCCAGGGTGAGAGGGAATCTGGCCTCCTGGGAATGGGGAGTGGTTCAGAGGGAGGCTGTGGATTGCAAGGACTGGGGGTGGGGGCTAAAGGAGGGGCACATCCCACAAGGCCACATGTCAGGGGAGCTCCTGATTCCTTGGTGGGTGTGTGGAAAGAGTGGAGAAATGGTATTGAGGAGAAAAAAATGCTGGAGGGAGGTGAAACTGAGAGGGAGGAGGCAGCTGTGGCGGGTCCCCTCCCAGAGGTGAGGTGAGAGGAAATGAACTGGAGGGAGCCACAGGAGAGACGGCTCACAGGGTGCTCTGGCCCTTCAGACAGTAGGACTCGGTTGACTCTGCTTAACCACCCCAGGCCCTAAAACAGAACCTACCCTGCACAGGGGGCTCTTTCATATAACAGCCAGGGAAGACCTTGGACAGTTGAGCAGAGATCTAAAGAAAATGAGGGCACCTGGATACCTCCAGGAAGAGCATTCCAGGCAGAGGGAACAGAAAGGGCAAAGGCCTTGGGCAGGATGTGCTGGAGGCCATGAGGTCAGAGAGGCCAGCGCAGTCCAACCAGGCAGGGCTGCATCACCCGTGGTGGATTTTCTCCAGGGGTAATGGGGAGCCATGGGAGGGATTTCTGCAGGCAGTGACTGTGCGGCAGCCCAGTTTCCCCTCACCATTCTTTGTCCCCAGGACAAAGCAGCATGGAGACTGGACAGAGAGCCGCCCGAAAAGGCCGGAAACTGGGCTCCAGCCGCCGCCGGCAGACACGAGAACCTGCTGATGGCCAGGATGTCCTTGGGGCTCCAGAGCCAGGGTCCTGGTCCTCTCAGGCAGCTGCAGAACTGCAGAGCTTCTTCCAGGACTGTGGTGCCAAGGAGAGGGGCTTTGTCACCCGAGAGGACCTGGCGGTGAGTTGAAGACCCTGTCTCACCCTGAATCCCTTTTCAAGACTGACAATCCCAGGAATGTAGGGCTTGTCTGCTCTTTCCCTTTCTCTCATCTAAACTTTGATCTCAGAAAAGGCTAGAAATTTGTTTATACTAATGTGTAAATGACTGATAAGGCTTTATGTGTTACCCTCTTTCAGAAACATTTACATTTTGATAAAGGAAAGGACTTTAAGCCAAGGAAGTAACTTGCAAATGATATCATTTTAGGCCCACTGAGCAGGGAAGTTTATCTTGGGGAGCAGTCAGAGCCCTGAAAATCAAACCATGTTGATGACTGTAAACTTGAATGAGACATAAGATCAGCCATGGTGGTGTGTCCCAATAAGGAAACTTAGGCTGTGGCCTAGACCAGCTTGACCGATTTTTCTTCGTTTTTTTCCTCATTACCTGCAAAAAGGCCTCTGTGGGTTGCTAGAGCCTTGCTGGGCCTGCTGTCTCCTCCTGATACTGCTCCAGGCTCCAGACTTGGTCCTTCCCCCAGCAAAACTGACCTTACCTATACTTAGCCTCAGGGCCACAACAAGGTATGCATGGCTGATGTTAAAATATAATTTCCAAAAGACTTTCAAGTAAATATAAAACCAGCACTTATCAAAGGTCTTACCTAATTAATTATTGCTATTAATTAATGAGGGGACCAGTAAGATGTTACGATGGGTTCAGAGGACATTTGAGAAGCTAATTGCTGAGTTCAATTTAAAAAATGACCCATGTCCAAAACTCCATAAATCTTTGGGGTTATCTGTTCTGCTAGGCAAAATTATTTTCATCTCTCCTGGACAAAAATCCACAAGTTAATGAGTAACTTCAGCAAGTCTGGAGCTTTGAATGAAAGGTAAACAATGAAATGAACTAAGTGCATTCCTCCAGCCTACACAGTGCTCCAAAGGACGTGCTGTCTGCCTTATTTCCAAGTTTCAGACTTTCAAAATATCTGTGGCTCTGCTATCTAGAGTGACCACCTGTCTCAGTTTGCCTGGGACTGGACGGGTACCTGGGATGTGGCACTTTCCAGCTAAAGCTGGCCACCCTCCGTCTGTCCTAAGGCCAGGAAACCAACCCAAGACTCTCTCCACCAGCTTTTACCTGCAGCCCCGATAACTGTAAGGGTCTTACTTTCTTCTTGAGGTTCCCGATTTTTCTAGGGTCCCTCTGCTGCTAGAAGAGGCCTTCCTTACCACCTGGTTCCTAGGAGGGCTTTGCCAGCATTGGCTCCGTGTTCCTTACGCCGGATTTGTCACACCCGATTAGATGAGAATCATTCTCCACTATGACACTACAGTCACACAGCTGGTTTATCTGCTAGACCTCAGCCGGAAGGAGGGCAGAGCCTTACTGAACTTGTAAATGACCATGTTGCCACGGAAAGCAAGGCGATTCGGTAAAAGTAATGGTTTCTGCATCAGGAGGGGGTCGGTGAGATTCAGATGCCATTTCACATGTTTAATTTCCGTTTACAGAAGCCATAATCTAGTAAACTGAAGGTCAGAGACAGCTTCAGGAGACAGAGAAAGAACTTGCTCATAAATCCATAAAAATAGAATAAAAATACTATCAGCTACATTCCCAACAAATAACCGCAACTAGATTTCCCTGACCCACTCATTCAGGCCCGTGGAATTAATTCTCTTATGCTGGATCTTGGGTGAGCTGGCTGCTACCGGACTCAGAGTCCTCAGAATGGGCAGTCCCCCAGCTCAGTCTGAAGGGTGGCTGGTGACAGCTCGGCGTCCTGTCCCCGGCGGAGCATCAGCAGTTCAGAGAGCCTGGCGCTGTCCCCTCCCACGGGCTGCGAGTGTGTCCCGTGGGAGACACAGCTGGCCTGCAGCTGTTCGCTGAGCCCCGAGGCAAGCACGGGCTCACTCAGGAACGACCCTGAATGGCTGTGGGTATTTCTTCAGTCACTAAAATATCAGAGTGGGAGAGTCAAGTTCTCCACTGCGGTGCAGGACATGCTGTTTCATAAGGGTTTGGCCAGTGTTTCCCCTGGAGAGCAACGGCCTTGGGAAATCTCCATGCCCCCCCCAAAGCTTGCAGCTTATGAACTGGTTGCAGCAATTGCATTTTACCTACGAAAACTTAGCCCACAAAAGGCCCACATCTCTCCTGAGGTGACGGCTCTTCTTACGATGTTCTTCTTTTTTGCGCCTAAGCCATGTTTAATATCAGATTTTGTTACAGGTTAAATCCTCTGTTTTTATTTTCTTCTACATACAACAAATATTACAGTATTTCTTATTGATAATGATCGGCTTAGTCTCTTTTTACAAGCAGGTGCTAAACACAATTGTATTAATTCATCTTAATGAACTTTCAAAAAGAGGTATCAGAGCCCTGGCCAGTTTGGCCAGTGGTTGGAGAGTCGGCCTGGGAATGAAGGGTCCTGGGTTCTATTCCTGTCAAGAGCACGTACCTTGGTTGCAGGCTTGATCCCCAGACCCGGTTGGGGCGCGAGTGGGAGGCAAGCAATTGATGTGTCTCTCTCACATCGATGTTTCTCTCTCTCTCTCCCTCCCTCCCTTCTACTCTCTGAAAAGCAATGGAAAAAATATCCTCTGGTGAGGATTAAAAATAAATAAATAAACAAAAAGAGCTATCAAAGAAATGTGGTCACTGCATTAAGATAGGTTCATGGGAGTCTGAGAAATAGTACTTGGTTGCCTATTTAATCTAAATGACAATGAAATACAATATTTTGAAATAAACATGGGAGAAGCTGACACAATTGCAAGGGTATTTAGCTCTTTCATAAGAGAGGTACCTTCGATTTTTTTGGTTTCATTTATTTTTTATTTGAAAATATTTTTAAAATATTTTATTGATTTCAAAGAGAGGAAGGGAGAGGGAGAGGGAGAGAGAGAAACATCAATGATGAGAGTCATTGACCAGCTGCCTCCTGCACGCCCCCTGCTGGGGATCGAGCCCGCAACCCGGGCCTGTGCCCTGACTGGGAATCGAACTGTGACCTCCTGGTTCATAGGTCGAGGCTCAACCACAGAGCCATGCCAGCTGGGTGATTTTTTGTTTTCAAAAAATTAGAATCTGATAAAGCCAAGCACAGCAGAGGGACTTAGTCTGCTGAGAAATGGAATCAGTTGCCTGGGCAACTTACACAGACGATAAATAGTAACCTCTTTCTCACGCTTGCCCAAAGCTCTAAAACCAGTTTATCATTTTAATAGAGATGGAGCCCAATTCTAGTTTTGCGCTGATGTAACACGAGGGATAAGTTTCACAAGTTTTGTTTGTAATTTATTTTTAAACCCATCAAAGTGGAGGCAAATTTAGCAAAATGTTAACATATTTCATAGCTTATTTTCAGACTCAGGTATTATAAATCAAGGCAAAAAAGACTCCTGTTCAGCAAACCTACGACTCTCTCTATCCATTAGGACTTGCCCTTTAGTATTTTTCAAGTTCTGGAACAACCAGACACTTTAAGACAAAACTACTCCCTTTATCCCTCCAAGACGAAACACACCCATCTTCCTTGCAGACACAGAGGATTCTCTGGCACTATTGTCCCTGGTATCGTCTCAGGCACCAGTAGTGCCCGGCCGGCTGTGGCTCGGCGGTCGAGCGTCGGCCTGTGACCCAGGGCATCGGGGTGCCATTCTCGGTCGGGGCACATGCCCGGGTTGCGGGCTCGGTCCCTGGTGGGGGGCTTGCAGGAGGCAGCCGATCGGTGACTCTCTGGTCATTGATGTTTCTGTCTCTCTCTCTGTCTCTCTCTTCCTCTCTCTGAAATCAATAAAGATATATTTAAAAACAAAACAAAAACACCTGTAGTGACTACAACCTTTAACCACAGTAATTAACCTCTATCGCACAGAATGAACTGCAGGGTAAATGTCTGTCTTATGCAGACATTTCAGTGGGCCAGCAGAGCTCACAAGTACGCCTAACACGACTTTCTGCACTCACACATGTCCCTGGCACAGCTTAAAAAAATTGTGATAAAATACACCTAACATGAAACTTACCCTTTCAGTGATATTAAGTAATTCACACTGTTGTGCAATCATCACCACCATCCATCTCCAGACCTCTTTATCTCCCCCAGGGAAGCTCTGACCCATTAAACACTAACTCCCATCCTCCTGTCTCCCCAATTCTGCTTTCTATCTCTATGATCTGACTACACTGTAGGTCCCTCCTACAGGTGGAATCACATAGTATTTGCCCTCAAGGGTCATTCATGTTGTAGCATATTGCAGAATTTCCTTCCTTTTAAGGCTGAATAATATTCCATTGTATGTATCCACATTTCATCTCTCCGTTCATCCCCTGATAGACATTTGGGATGCTTCCATCTATAGCTATTGTGAATGCGGCTGCTATGAACATGGGAGTACAAGTATCTACTTGAGTCCCTCTTTCCCCTTCGTAACTATTTAAAGTGCAGAAAATGAATTCACTCGTTAACATGACCCAAAGATACAGCTGCTCTCCAGCACGTAGAAGTAAGGAGTAAAGAGATATAAATTTAAAATTATGCTTAGCAATTAAAGCTTCAGTATTACATTTTTCTTAATTTAATATTAATTCAGGTTTTTCAAGTTACAAAAGAGCTTGGAAATTGTGTTTAAAACGACATACTATAAAATATGAGTACTGTTGCTATAAAATTTGTTAGAATAATGAATCAGTTTAGTCGAACACAAATTTACATTTTTATAATCTATTTTTTCAGATGTGCACAACTGGGTTGAATTTTTCTCTCTTTAACAAGTTTTCCCCCATGTACTTGTTTATTTTTATTTTTTATTGAGTTTATTGGGGTGACATTGGTTAATAAAATTATATAGGTTTCAGGTATACAATTCTAACATTTTGATAATCTTAAACATCATGTACAAACAATGTTAACTTATTTGATCAGTAAGACAAAATAAGCAGTGTAGGACATTCAGATGAACTAGTTTCTTCACAAAAAACAAATAGAGATCTTATAAAAAATAAAATGTATACTTGTATTATACTTAATATAAAGCAGAGAAAACACAGATAACTATTATCTGTGTCTTGTAACCCAAAATTCTTAAACTAATCCAATTTGTCCAAAGATTCACCTTAATTATGTGAACCTGGCTCCTTAAAAGTTTTCTGTGCTAACAATTTATTGGATGAGGGACTTAAAAAAAAAGTTTAAGCACTGGAAAGCATTATAAATTCAGTTTCTTTATTTTCTGTGACTTCGGGAAACGTTAGATTTATGTAAGCACTTATTTGTCTCTACAAACCAATCAACACAGAACCCCGAAGGCCTCTAAGTTATCACTGTCCTCCAGATGTAGCAAATTGCTTTACACTCACAATAAGGGTTAAAGACCTTTCTGATTACAGATATGTAGATACACAGACACAGAGGGAGTCTGGCTTTATTGCTCCAACTCCAGCCATAGGTCAAAAGTCAACACAGAAGCAAAGCACTCACCAGTCCAGGTCTCAAAGAGCTGTTCGCCTCCCCAGTGGGTACAAATTCTTAACTCACTGGAGGTCACAAGTAAAAAAAAAACCACACTACCACCACCACCAAAAGATTAGGAAATCAGATTTTCTGTTGTCTTTCAACCAACAGACGCTAGGTCTCTATCGTGCAGGCCAAGTAGATCACAGAATAATCAGTCCATAAAATCCATTCCCCACCACTGCTGCGGCCAAAGCAAAAACACAAGTTCAGCAAAAAGAAAAGAAAAGAAAGGAAAGGAAAAGAAAAGAAAAGAAAAGAAAGGAAAAGAAAGGAAAAGAAAAGAAAAAAGAAAAAAAGAAAAGAAAAGAAAAGAAAAGAAAAAAGAAAAGAAAAGAAAAGAACAAAAAACTAGAGACACAGAGTCAGCAAACTTAAAGTTCTATCACAGTCACACTTAGGATTCCCTGCAAGCGCCGAGAGGTGCCAGGGCTCACTTCTCCGGCAACTGGGGCATCTCCACAGAACCTCCAAAACTGTTCAAATACAGTTTCCAAAACGCTAAAATCATGACCCTTGGGCAAAAATAAGATAAATTCATATCTAAGGTTTTATTTAACTCATTAACTAATGAGAGATGGTATGAATGGCTGAAAGAGCATTTAAAATGCTAGGTAATTTAACAAAGAAATGTTAGGACCAGATTGCTGAGTTAGAGTTTTAAAAGCCGGTTCATGTCCAATAGGCCGTAAATCTTCAGGGTTGTCTGTTCCATCAGACAAAATTTATTTCCATCTCTCTTGGACAGAACCTACACGTCAGCCTGTGTCTTTAGTTAGCCTGGGCCCTCTCATCAGCTCCGTGAGATGAGTTGTGTACGTTCCTATAGTCTAGACTCTAGAGGTGGCTTTGTCCCCACAGAATACTGGAAGGATGTGCTCTCCACCTTTTGGGCTTATTTTCAAGTTCCAGATTAATTTTTGGACACTGATAAACACAATCTGGGGGGATTTACGACTGTCCTTCATTAGGGCCCTTAAGGGATGGGACTGAGAACAGGCAAATGCTGATGGAGGAAGGGGGAAGGGAGAAGGCGTGGGGTTCAGGGCTCTGCTGAGAAGCTGTCCCGGGGGAGGGGGTCCTGGCGCCAAGGGCAGGCTCTGGCTCAGGCAGGCGGTGGGGACAGGGGAGGTCGGGGTGGCTGAAGGCAAACACCTTTCATTTTTTGAAGGTGGCCCAGAGCCTTCCCCAGTGGAAACAGCACCCAATGTACCCCTTCTTGCAGGCGGCCAAGTTCAGCTTCCTGGGCAGCGAGGAGGAGCCGGAGATGATCTTTGACTGGGTGGATGTGGAGCGCAAGGGACACCTCTCCCTCGAAGAGTTCAGCTCTGGGCTCAGTACGTCTGTCCTGGGAGGGGCTCTGGGGCTTTGGGGCACAGCCAGGCGTCCCAGGCAGTGTGCCCAGCACCGGCAAGACTGGCCTGACCGGAAAGGCAACAGTGACACCTTCCCAACCAGGGGACCTTCGCAATACCCACGAGAGGGTTCAGGGCGTGGGCGATAACCCGGTGACTGTGGAGATGAGGGCACCAAGTCTGTGGGAAAGCAGATGGTTTGAGCCTTAAGGCTCTAGCCCAGGAGATCTGATCACTCCCTTTCCCACCAGCCAGAGCAGCCCGCTGGCTGGGGGCTCCCCTGAGCATCCCCTCCTCTAGAGAGGCCACCAGGCTTGCTTTCTGATGCCTCCCTTTTCTCCCCAACAAAAGGCTTCCCTTGAGCAAGAAGTTAAGCACCCCCCATGCTTGAGACCACAAGCCTTCTTACTGCCTGTGGAAGTTCACATTCTGGCTTTGGTTAAGGGAATTCTGGGTCCCAGGGAGCAGCAAAGGGTGATATTTAGTGGGTGGGGGCTTCTCAGGCCCTTAGTCCCCACTGAGCAGGGCTAATTCAACACCTGCTTCTCAAGACAGGCCCCAAAGGACCTAACGAGGCCAAGGCCAGCAGGGAATAATACTCCCACTGATCTTCTCGATGGGGAAGACCTTCTAGCCCAGGGAGTGGAAGGTGTGTTCTTGCAGACACCCTGCCAAGCACAGCTTGGTCTCACATTAATGCAAAGTCATCTAGAGTTCTTAGGTCTGCTGAGTCCCCAAAAGTTTGGGGGACAACAAGAGGGAGACCAGGAATCTGCATTTATAGTCTGGGGCTGCCCAGGAGGTGGTTGCTCCGGTTCTGGTGATTGAGAACCTGGGGGTAGGGAGGGGGAATTGGGTCCTGAAATCAGAGGTGGAGGCAGAGGGAACATTGCTGTGCATGCACCTCCAAGAGCCATCTTTATATCTGTATCCAGTCATGCCCAGCACCCCAGGGACTTCCCAGTGCCTGTGGAACAAAATCTAAACCCCTTCTTGAGGCCCACAGGGCAGCACCATCCAGACTCCACCAACCTCTTGGGCTCTCTCAGTGCCACTCGCCTCCTCCACTGTGCCAATCTGTTTCCTACCTCAGGGCCTTTGCATGTGCTGTCCTTTCTGCCTGGAATGTGTTTCCCTGGGAATGCACACGGCTTCTTGTTATTCTCATTTCCGCTCCAGTGTCGCTTCCTGGGCCACTCTTGACCACTTTCTCTAAAGTAGCCCCTGCCCAGTCTCTAAATGGAAATTGCCTTGCTTGTTCCTTTAGCTCACTTAGCAAATTGACTTTTTAAAAAGTGTGTCCTTTTCAGCAGTCGCTACCATGTCAGTTCTACTAGGGCAAGGATTTTGGCCAATTTTGTCCCCAGCACATAGTAGATGCTCAATAAATATTCTGGATGAATGAAAAATGTGTTGGCCACCATGGAGCTGCTGTGTGACTTCCAGCAAGTCTTTTGGCCTCTTTGGGCCTCATATGTTCATCTGTAAAATGGGCAAAGTGCCTACCTTCAGCCGACTCCCAAGGTTGACATGAGGAATGTGTAAATGTGACCAAAACAGATAATTATGTCCGCGAGGGCTGGAGCAGGGCAAGAGGAGAGGTCAGGAGCTGAGCCCAACCCCACTCTGTTCCTTTCTGTCCCCCTCTGTCCCACAGAGAGCATCTTTGGCTCCAGCCTGAGCACCCCCAGGCTCCGGGGAAAGAGGCCACTGTACTCCAAGCGAGTTTCTGCGGCCACCAGCTTCCCAGCGCTAGAGGAGGCGGATGCGGAGGAGAAGGAAGCATTCTTTGCCTTCATGGAGCAGCTGGGGGATGGCCATGTACATCCTGAGTAAGGCCTG